TTGCAGTACCTTCTATGAGGTATTTAAGGTTTCTGAGAGATTTGTCATTGGTTTTTAGGCTTGAATTTTTATTTCAATCCTATAAAGAGCAGTGTGGCTTCACATAACTGTTGATAATGCAAGGTTTAAAGCAGTGAATAGCTTTGCTGCTTCTTTACATATTTATTAAGATTTCTTAAGAGTGACTTGACTTCTTTAGTAATGTATTTTCTGCTCCTAGAAGCTCACATAATTACTGAAGTCAATAAATATACTTATTTTATAATGGAATGATGGAGTCGAAGGCCTGTGACAGATTGCCCCTTAGAGCTATTTTTATGAATCCTTGTAGATAATATACAGTACTTTTTCCTTTCAAGACCCTCAGGGTTATTTCCCACAGATGATACCTCTGACCTTCACGCAGGGATGCTAAGAAGATTTCTCAAAAACCAGGAGTCCTGGGTGCTGGAGTGACTGTCTCCTGTTTAAAAGTACAAGCAGGAGTAAGTGGGCTGTGGTACAACATTGTGCTGTGACAATCTGCAGACTCGGCAGGGAAGAGGTGTCTTTATGCCAGATGTAGAACTCCAGGGCCAATGCAAACTTCTCAATCTTCGCGTCCAGCACAAGCAGTGCTTGCAAGGAAGGTAGTAATGGGAAGAATAGCATACATGAGTACTGCTAGAGGAATTGTTAAACACTACAAAAAAATGCTTTGATCTAATCTCAGCATCTATGAGTAGTTATTCTCTTTACCAAAAGTGAGGCATACCAGAGCATTATCACAGACACTCTAAGCAATTATGTACACACACACACACCACACACAAAACATGCATGTGTGTGTTTTGTAAATATATTTACATATATATAAACAAATGGGAAGTGAGTGAGAAATATGTATAAATATTTATATAAAAATATATTTCTCATCCAGTCCATTTGTTTATGAATTCATAGAGTATGAAGAAAGAGGGCAACCTCTAATTTCTTCACATTATAAACTTTTTCATATGATGATTTCTCCGTTCCTCCCATTGGGAGTATACTGGAAGTGCACAAGATCAGACTGTCTACACACACCGGATTATCCTTGCATGTCATCACATTCTCATTAAAAAAAATTAAAATCCGAAACACTTATTCTGAGCGTAACTCCATCAATTGTTAAAAGTAACCTGACCACTCTGAACTGCATTCATTGCCTGACAAGGACTTGCTACAAACTGCTGCCACTGCCAGGCACAAGCTCACAGCAGGAACAAGACAAGGGATTGAACACTGAGTGGCACAGAGCTCAGTGACACGGGCCTGCCTTGGCACACTGAGCTGCCTTAGAGAGCAAAATCCAGGGTCTGGTTGCATGAAAGTTTTCTAAAGTAAATAATTTCTGTTTATGGTGACTTTGGAAGGAAAGCACAAGAGCCAGTAGGAAAGGTAAGAACACTGATCAGTAGCAGCATTTTCCCATCATCTACGATGTAGCTGTTCTCTCAATGTTTCTCTGTACCTATCTCAATTGAGGTTAATTTCCATAAGTACCAAACTGCCCCAGCTCTCATTTCAGTAATTGAATATTTATCATTTATAATACAAATTACATATTTCAGATTCCCCTTCCCCCCTCAGAAAAATCTTCCAGCCACAGTAAAGCTCTTGCCTTCAGTTTGCAAACATTTAATGAAACAATTCACTTAACCCTGCCTTCCTTTACACTAATTGATCTCTCCACCATGAAACCACATACTCAGAATAGATGAGGGGGTTAATCCTTCATCCTCTATTTCACACACAGCAATTTCAACAGGTTATACTCAGGATAATGGCTTTTCCTGCCTTTGCTGAGGCTCCTAGCCAGCCTTGCATGCAGGCTGTGTTGCAAGACACAAGGAGTAGTGCATCACAGTGTGCACTCATCCTCTCCCAAAAACAACAACAAAAAAGACAGACAAAACAAAACAAAACAAAAAAAAAAAAAAAAAAAAGCACAAATTCCCAATGTAAATATTGTATACAGGGCTTAGATTAAACTTAAAACTAATTTCTTTTTTCTACTGTGCACTCCCACGGATATACTTCACCATGCATTCTGCAGCATTTTGTGTTGGGTGGATGGAGTCACTGTGTGGAGGTGTGGCTGACTTGCAATCATTCACCTGCCAGATGGAGGTGACAGCCTCACCTATTCCAGCAGCCAGGCGTGAGGCTGCTCTGGGAGAGGAAACAGAGTGAAGATGGGAAGGATACAGCAAAAGTGAATGAATTTGCAGAACAGACCACTTGCGGGGTTAACAGGATCTTCCTTTTCATTCCAGCTTGTATTTAAACACTTGTTACACAGGCACAAACAAAGGCATTTAAAAATAGCTGAAGGTACTGGCGGTGGTGGCACTGTGTGTCCTCCCTCACATATGGCTCCATACTGCTCCCTATTTTGAAACCTAATTATAAGTCTTTATTAAATGAGAAACTGTCACTACAGTAAGAGATACTAATAATATTAGTAAACTGTTCTATCATATGTACTCAGCTCAGCAAGCATGCATTTCCATGCACAGAGCAGAGCTTTCTTTGCCTTCACATTCCTCACAGATACTTTCTCATCCTCAAGCACTGTCTGTTGGGAGTACAGACTCTTCTTCATGGCAAAGAAGCCAGTATTTCATAATGAACAAAATTAATTACCACCATCCAGATCACTTTAAACTTTCTTCCAGCATCAAGCACCTTTTGCACTCTTCCCCTTCCTTCTCCAGTCACATAATATCACATAAGCGTGGTAATTGTCGACACTACAAGAAGGCATGCAGCTTTCTGTCTGCTGGGAGGAGAGATGAGGGAGGGAAGAAGGCATGAACATAAAAACCATAATTTTGTTTTATTTGAGAGAAATTTCTAAGAAGGTTTTTTTTTCTTTTGCATTTCAGGATTTGGTCCTGAAATCATTTGCAGCCCTGAGACTGAAATGCAAGCACTGACTTTAGAGAGGGAAAGAAGGGGAGTGTTAAAAGCAGTAACAATAGCTCTAGAATTAGAAGAGGAGTAAGTGGGTTTTTCAGACCAGCTTACGAAGTAACCAAGAAATCAGAATCCTTAGCACTCCTATTTAGAAGTGAAATTTCAGACACCACTGAGCAGAGTGAATTTGCAATCTTTCATGCAGTCACAGCTGCTTTTCACCATGAAAATCTGCTTCTGAGACTCCAACTCTAGAACACAGCCTGCATCCCACAATTTATTAATATATTGCCAACAGTAAGATGAACTTTAAATTTCCCTCAGTAAAATAAATTAAAGTAGATTGTACTTGACAGTATCCAGATACACGATACAAAGTAGGTAATCAGCTGCTCCAGAAAGTTGCAATGCATCTACTTAAGAATGACATGGCTTTGTAGCTCAGAACAGCTTCAATAAGTTCTGTTCTCTTGCTTCTGAATGAAACAAACCAATTTCTGGGTTTGGCAGCAGCATACAGATGTAGAAGAGAAGAAGAAAATGTGCAACCTGTTTCGATAGAGCTGGTAGCAATTCAGACAAATTTCACACTGGATTATCCCTGGAGCATTGCACTGCTTTGCTGCTAAGATCCAGCAAGATTTCAACATCTGAATAGCCTAAAAGAACAGCCTGTGGTGCTTCAGTTCAAGTCAAGTGATTCTTCTTTGCTAAAGCTAAAGTTACCCTGCTAACAGGTGAATGACACCAAGGTAAGAACACATTACTTCAAGTGAGATTCAGAACTATAAAATATAATCACCATATTCCTCTACAAGGCAATACTGCATATGTAAAAGCTTCTGACAATAACAGAACTACTGAAAAGAGACAAGAATAAGAAGGCCACAAAAACTTTTTGGGACACACAACACTAACAATCCCTGTAGTACTTTTTCCATGCAACAGAGAACTGCTACCACACAAGCCACCAACTCACATCCATGCATAAACCCACCAAACAGGGCTTCCATGCTGCCAAAGCAGCATTACCTACTGCAGCCCCGGTCCCACACAAGGCAGCAAGCCACAGACTGTCAAATTATATACACAGCAGCAGAGGAAGGAAAATCAATAGGCCATTCACTGACTTTGCAGTATGTACGTATGTATAAATTAAAATGAAATAAATAAATATGAGCCTTTTAGTCAGTGTGGTGTGTAAGCATGGGAAAATACATTACTCCAGCAAAACCCTTCTCACAAGTAGACCTGGATTTTTTTTTTTTTTTTTTTTTGCCCCCCCCCCCCCCCTTTTCTTTTTTTCTTTTAAAGTTTGTCGACATGTATCAGTAATACCGAAGTTACAGTTCCTCTGCCTGTGACTATTTCTATATATGGTCAGCACAGATATTTGCTAGGATTTGCATTTTTCCAGAAGTAATCCCAGGCAACCGGCAGCCCATGAATCGATACAGAAACCCACAGGAGCAGCTCTATCGCCCCACAGACGTGAGGGCAGTCGGCTTTTTCTACCCCGACACTTGAATAGCACACAGAACAGGGTCGTCTCCGGCTTTAAGCAAGCACTCGGGCTCTGCCCCAACACCCGGCGGCAGCGCTGCCCCTCGCACCCTGCCCACGGGGGAAGCGGAGCTACAGCAAAGCCCTCGCCCAGACACGGAGCCAGGCGGAGAGCAAGGAGCCGTAGGGGCAGCCCCAGCCGGGGCAGCGGCACACCCGGTGGTCAACGGGCGGCACGTCGAGCCGGGCGGCGCGGTGAAGGCACCCGCAGCGGGACAGGACGGCACGAGAAGGCTGCGCTGTACTCTTGCGGTTCTCGCTCCGTGCGCGCCCCGCGGGAGAGGCGAGCCCAAAGAAGGGCAGCGCGGAAGGGGCCGATCCACCACCCCTAGCAGAGCCCCGAACCCCAGGACAGCGGAGGGCAGCAGGTGGAGACACAGCAACTTTCACCGCGAGCGGCCCCGCAGCGCAACCAGCCCGGTCGATCCCGTACAGAAGGAAGAAAGCCCAAAGCAGAACGCTCAGACCCCCCCCCGAAACAGCGTTCCGCATCCTACCTGCCTCGATCCCGGCGACTCCTCACCGCCCGCTTCGCTTCGCTCCTCTCCTCCTCGGGCGCTCCCACGGCGCCCAGGTGGCGTTAGCAGCGCGCTTCCCACGGGCGGCGCGCCCCCGGCGGCCGGCACATCCCCCGCCGGGCGCCGCCAAGAGAAGGGCAACGGGGCAGGGCACGGCGCTCCGCTCCGCGCCTCGCGCTACACCCACCCGCTCCGCTGCACCTGTGCCGCGCGGGACACCGCCCCTTAGCCTCGGCCCCCAGGTGGGCGGGGGCGAACCGGGACCCCTCGCCCCGCTGTTGCTGCTACCACCACCGCCGCTGCCGCCGCCGCCCTCCCCATGCAGCCGCCGCACGAGGGGCGCCCTGGCTCCGCCGCGCCGCGCCGCTCATTGGCCCGTCCGCCGCTGACCTCACGGGGCACTGCTCCGCCCACCGCCCCCAACCCGGCCCGGGCGGCTGCCCCGAGGCCGCCCAGCCGGAGTCCTGAGGGTGGGCAGCGGGTGCGTTGTGGCCGCCGGGCGGCGGCTCGGAGGCGAGGTGCCGGGTGCCCGCAGCGCCCCGGCGGGATTTGCTTCAGGGCAGCGCGGAGCAGAGACGCGCGAGCGGCGACCCCGGCCCCTGCCAGCAGCCAGTGAAGTAAAAAGGGGTCACAGCAAAAGAGAAGACGGAGGAACCGTTCCACTAGACTGCGGTGTCTTCTCCTTTCTTTTGGTTTTGACCGAAACAGAAGAGCAACTATTGCTTGAAGACTGTGGTCCTCTCTGTGGAAAAAATTTCCCATTGCATATTCAATATTTCTCTTAATGGTGTATGTGGCATTTACCATACAGCTCCTTAGCATGTCTTAATATGGTACTGATCCATTTTTAGGTAACTTTCAAGACATATCCTTGAAATATTCTCCCCTTCTAGCTAATCTGAGCATGTCACAAACTTGTAGTAAGACAAATAATTCATTAACGGATGCTCACGTGTAATTTGAACTTGTTGGACCAGAAAGACGTAGGGGAATCTTGCCCATTTTAGAAGATCCTGGAGATGTGTGTTGAATTATTTCCACAGATTGAGATGTCCTGAACTTCTGTGTTTCTTATGTCATAAAAGATGAATAAATTCAACTTGAAATCTTTCAACATGGAGAAAGCTTAGACTTCAGTGCTTGCATGGTCAGCACTGTTCAACACGAGATTCCCACAGCACAGGGAGAAGGATACATTCCTCTGTTGAGGTCTTGTATACATGTAACACCAAAGTCTAGGAAGTGGCACACTGGAAAATACAAAGGAAGCACTAACAGATGCTTGGAAAGGTTCAGATACTCTGTTAATCTTATTGTCTGCAGGAATCATAGAACGGCTTGGGTTGGAACAGACCTCAAGGATCATCACACTCCCTGTTACAAACACGGGGTCACCTTGCTCTGCACTGTCACGCACAATGCTGGGATTTTTATGGGACATGAGCTGTAGGATCCTCACAAAACCGGTCAGAATTAGAGCCAGTGAAAGGGTATGTCATACTTGGGGTACTACATTTTCATATACCTAGTGAATGTACTGCTTTATATTCAATGAAAAATACATAATGTCCTAAATAAATAATTGGGATTAAAAGTAAAATAATAATAATTAAAATAAAACTAGAATTTTTGCCATGGAAAGATCCCTCTGTTCTCCAGATTTGTGTGCATTTACTTTACTGTCTACACCTTTTCCTTCACCTTACATCTAAAAATCACACCATACCCTGTAACGTCATGTGGGGTTCAAAGTGCTGATAGAGCCAACCCAGACAGCCCTTCAGAATGTGGCTGTCCTTGGGGCCTTTGCACCCAGAGCCTCTGCACACAGATATACCCTAAGCTCACAGGGTGCTCCTGCAGTTTCTGCTTCTGCAGATTATGTTGGAAATAGTGTGGATTTTTTTGTTCGTTTTTGCTTTTGTTTTTCATTTTTTAATTATTATTCTACTGAAAATATTCTTAGATAATTTGACCACCATTTCCCCTTTGTTTCTCATAGTAGCAATTATATTTGTTTAAAGGCTTACCAGTAGGAAGCATCCACAATATAACTAAGCTGATCTCAGGTGGAGGTGGATAATGTATTAACACAGAAACCATCCGGAGGGGAAGAGGTGGGAAGACACGGATGGTAAATCACAGTATGATTAGAGTAGGGTCAAAAATACACAGGTTTGTGTCTATAACAACCTCATTAGTGTCTGAGGTCGTGGTAAAAATCATGTATGTATATGAAGCAGAATGTATTTTACAAAACTGTGCATTTTGCATTTTTTTTTTGTTTTGTTTGTTTTAAGATTCATCACAAAGGCTTGCCTTTGAATTTGCCTTGCTATAAATACCTATCAATACTTCATAAATCAGATCACAGTTGCCTAGTTCAATTCTGTAATAAATATATTTGACCTTGAGTCATGCAAAATGAACCTTTAAAGGAAGCGTTTACACATTAAAATCAACAATCCTAGAAAATACTCATTGGATAATGTCTTGTATAAAGAAATAAGTGTCATAAGAGTCAAGGAACTGTTCAGGAGAGCCTAAGGTAAGGGAATAAATGCTGCAATGACACTTCTAAATAATACCTTCTGCAGAGAAAAAAAAAAAAAAAAAAAATCCATTGAGTATAACAAGATCTTTGCTGAGCAGGGATCAGAGGTTCAAACAGCTCCTGGGCATGAGATGGGTTTTCACAATGTATTCTGAAGAAGGCACAGAGGTCAAGACTAATTAGAAGAATAAGTTTTAAAATAGGCAATGTCACTGGACTATGTTTTCTTGAGGTGTCTATGGGAATAAGAAGTAAATCTGGCATGAGAGGTTGCACACCTCTCAATGCCTTGCTTATTTTCTCCTCTTGCTGCCCAGCATAAGACCACATATGGGATGCCTCTGAGAGATCAAGACCCACTCACTCTGACCATGGAAGTATTCACAGAGAACATCAGTGCAAAAAAGGTGAGGAAAGATGGTGGACAACTGAATAAGTGGCTGCTCAGTATGCCTTTTTTGCTATACGTTATACATGTATACATTTTGCTATACATTAAGGATTAAGGATACATTGCAGCTAGGTCTCTGTTAACACTGATTTCATATCCTTGGCCTCCCGCTCTTTTCATGCCACTGCTGACCACAGAGGCAGTGTAGTCATCCTCTGGTTTTCTGCTTCCAGCTAAGACCTAAGTGAGCTCAGCAGGAAGCCAGTTTAGTTATCTCAGTTAAGCAGTCCTCAAATATATCCTTGAAGGACCTTTTTGGGCAACACCACTTCCTCATCTCCAGATCTCCTTCATCACATTAGATTAGGTTGCTTAGTTTCATTCAGAAGTTCAGATGATTAACATCATTTCTTAATTTTTCCTCCTTCCTTTTTACTCCTCTGGGACATCAGAAACTCATTTCTATAACAGTTAGGAACTTCTAATTTTACTCCTCAATTTATTTCTGAATACTTTATATCAATTTATCTTTCCTGACAATACTAGCCTTGACTTTAGCTATCTCACCACTCTCAGATGTTTTAAGATTTTTATGATGATCCCTCCATACTCCCTCCATACCTTTCCTTCTGCAAAGCTAACCTAATCCTCTCCTAGCCTTTTTTATTACATTGTCCCTCTGGTCTTCTGCATATCCAATCATTCTTTTGCATATCCTCTTTATTCTGAATTGAGCTTCCTTCAGACTAGGTGGAATTACCTATTTTAGATGAGGTTCTAAATATGGCCCGTTATAAAGGGCTCAGAAGGGATGGGAGTGCTGTGAACTGTAAGTTAGTGTGCTTTGCCATTTTTCACTGCTCCATCACATTGCTGGCAAACAGTTACCCTGTGGCCCAATTGTACCAGAAAGGATTTCATTTTTGTCCTGTTTCCAGGTGATAACTCCCAGCTCATAGCAGAAATTCCTGTATTTACCCCCTGCAGGCATTACACCATTTCACCTTACCATATTTCCCACGTTATGTTCTACTATGCCCTCATAATTACTTCTCATGTGGTTATCAGGCACTCATCAGTCAGTACTGGCAGTGCCCCGAAGTGTCATCTCCCAGGGAGCCCCACTGGCAGATCCCTCTACTCAGCCAAGGGTGAAGGGCTGCTGTTCCCTGAGGAAGTGCACGAGCAGCATCCATCCATCCAGCTGACTGTCAGCATAAAGCATCTCATTGTCCCCCATTTGGCCTGTGCCTTACTGTATTTATATTATTTTGCTAATCCTCATCCTCTTCAGCTTAGTGAACAATTCCCCATGTGTCACTACGCCAAAAGCTTTACTGAGTGCCAAAGAGATCAAATCTACAGAGTTATCCTTATCAAGAGGATACTTATCTTGTCCAAAATAAGGGATCAAGTCAGTCTGGCACAATCTGCTCATGCTGTTTCATCTGATTTATTTTTTTGTGTGATGTAAATCAATGCAAACTGTACACTCATCCATAAAGCCAGGTCATACTCACTGTGCAAGCAAAGTCAAAACAGCTTCATTGGCAGATGATCACGGTCATCACTAAGGCCAACCAAGGGAGCAGCCTTGAAAGAAAAAAGGCAAGTTCTATGGCTTCTTCTACTGTTTAATAGACTTGAGAACACACTTGTATTCACATTTCACAACAGTTTCTGAGAATGTTGAACAAGGATGCAAGTAGTTCATAAATTTCCAAAATGATAAACATTTCAAGTAACTTCGAGTATAACATTTGAAAGTTATATACATACACAGTCTAACAGAAAAAAAGTGTGTTGTCTACATAAAGCCAGCCTACTTACAACAAGAACTCCAGTTCCAGGCTTATTACTTGTAACTTAATTATTGGATTTTTGTAACACTTGAATTTCAATTAATTAATCCTTTTGACTCCTTTGTCAGCCTAATATAATTATTCCTTTTTTTTTTTAAATGGATAAAATAATAACAGCAGATTTAGCAGTAAGGCACACAGAAATTAAGATGCATTCCTTAACATAACGAAAACGAACATACCTTAGTCCTCCTCTGGTTCCCTTTAATGGCCAGCAGAAGTACAACTTGAGCATCAGCCTTT